CAGGGAGCCCGATGCGGGACTCGATCCAGGGACTCCAGGATCATGACCTGAGCCGAAGGCAGTCGCCTAACCAACTGAGCCACCCAGGCGCCCAGAACACATCAATTTTTAAAATTCATCCATTCAACATCTATTTATTGAGTACCCACTTTGTCCCAGGAAGTGTTCTCAACAGAAGTAAAACAAACATGGAGCATACACTTTAGCAAGAGAGTTAGACAATAAACAGATAAACGAGTAAATATATAACCTAACAAGTATAATGGCAACCACAAAGCATGATGACAGGACATTACACTAGATAGTGCTGTTTTCTCATTATATATTAAAGCAAGATCACTTTAGTTTTCAGTCCCCATTGCAAATGTTGCTTACATCCTATCAGCTGAATTTGGGCACTTTATTTTTCTACAGAAATGCAGACCCAAGGAGTTTAACCCATGCATGCTGGGGTTTGCAGTAGCTGCCAGGAGATTAGTTGTTCTTTGATGGTAGCTTGAAAAAGGGCAAGGAGTAAGGGTAAGAGAGGGTAGTCTGGATGGTGGAAGAAAGGAGGAGGCATTCTTTTTTTCTCCATTTCTAACTCCCAGCACTGCCTCCTGCCATGGGGCCACACAGGAGGGCTTCTTAATCCAACCCAACTGTGAAAGTTTGGGTCCCTCCTCTGCCTAAGATTCCCCAGGACACTCGACTTTTTGAATCTGCAATTTTATACTTTCATCAGATTGAGAAAATTTTGGTAATTATTTCTTCAATTTCTTTCTCCTTTGGTAACTCTCTGGTGCTTTCAGGTAACTGTTTTTCATATTTTGTGCAGAGTTTATATTTTTATCTGTAGAATTGGCCCAGAGAGTTCTAGTGAAAGATGCCAGAAGCTCTGGAGGGTAGACCAAGATGTTGGAGTAGGAGAATGTAATGAATTCCAACCCAAATGCTTCCTGTAGTTTTCCAATAACAAATAACAGTATACAATCCTCTCTGGTTCATATATCCTCACAAATCTGAGCATCTCTGACCCCAGAAATGAATGACACTTACCAGGCATCCACACTGCACCAACAGGAGGGTCAGCTGGCCAAGACCTGAGATAGAAGTATACTAACAATTTGCTCAGTATCCAGGATTTTGAGCCCAACAACAGCATTTTGTTCAAATTACTTGTGGCAATCAATAATTTTGACATTGTAATTACTTAGAAATGGACTAAAGAATGCTTTTTTTTTTAATTTTTTTTTTTTAAGATTTTATTTATTTATTTGACAGAGAGAGACACAGCGAGAGAGGGAACACAAGCAGGGGGAGCGGGAGAGGGAGAAGCAGGCTTCCCACTGAGCAGGGAGCCCGATGCGGGGCTCGATCCCAGGACCCTGGGATCGTGACCTGAGCCGAAGGCAGACGCTTAATGACTGAGCCACCCAGGCGCCCCAAGAATGCTTTTTGATACAGAAAGATGTTCACCATATAATGGAGAAAGATGTTATGGAGATTATGTACCATATACTCCCATTTTTCTAAATTGTTTATTTAGGTATAGAAATCTCAACGAGGGTGTGAAAGGAAAAAAATGTTTGTAAAGATTTTGTTTATTTGAGAGAGAGAAAGAGAGAGAACACAAGCAGGGGGAGGGGCAGAGGCCAAGGGAGAAGCAGGCTCCCCGCGGAGCAGGGAGCCCGATGCGGGGCTCGATCCCAGGACTCTGGGATCACGGCCTGAGCCGAAGGCAGACGCTTACCGGCTGAGCCACCCGGGCGCCCCGGGAAAATATGTTTTAAGCGACATGGTACAAATGTGAGTAGTGTTAGCAGCAGTTCTGAGTTGTGGGATTATGGATGCTATCTTTTCTCCATTTTCACTCTTTTATTCATTTCCCCAAAGCAAGCCTTCTAATTTCCTCTACTCTCTATTCCTCCGCCCTGCTGTTCTTCCATAGCCTTTCCCACCATTCGATAAGCTATTTATTTTACTCATTCATTCGTGTTCTCCATCCACTTAAAAGTCAGATCTGAAGAGGCTAGGGAATTTTGTCCGTGTTTTCCCCTGCTGTATCCCCCTGCGTGACTTTTCTTTCCAGTGCAGGCCTAATTCTTTTTCTTAGTCCCCCATAGCGGGGACCGTTTCCACTGCCGGGGTGGGGGGCGGGACGGGGTTCAAGCCCAGCAGTCTGGCGGCAGAGACATCGTCTCATTCACTGCCTCTCAACAGTAAGGATAATGACGACGCTCCCGTTGGGCAGGAGAGACAGTTACTAATTTGCTGTCGTCACTTTGGGGATAGGACACTTTCGGGGTTCCCGATCGCTGTTCTTCCTGTCGCAAAACAGCACAGGAAGAAAACCACGCTCCCACGGACAGGCTCGAGGGCCGCACTCGGAGCCACTCCACGCTCACACGGACACAGCGTCCCCTCGAAAAGCCGCCCGCAGCGCCGTCTTCTCGCACCTGCCACCGCGTAACTAGGGACGCTTCCGGTCTCCAGGCGAAGGGAGGGGGAGCGCGCTTTCTAAGCGCCTGCGCACACCCCGCCCAGCTCCGCCACGCCCCTGACCCCTAGGCCACGCCCCCGAGTCCCGCGGTATTCAATCGCAGGCACGCACGCTCCGGCGCTCGGGTTCCTCCTCCCGTTTTCTACAGCGCAAGGACACGCCCCCTCCACTAAGCCCCGCCCCGCCCCGCCCCGCCCCTCGTCCCTCGGGCTCCTCCCCCTTACACCGCCCGCCTCGGGAGATTCGCACATTCGGAGCCCGGGCGTTGGCGCCTGCGGCCCTTCGGGTGAGAGGGGTGGTTTCCGGGCGGAGGCGGTGGGCTGTTCCCGCGGGTCGGCAGTCGGAGCGCGGGAGTCGGGCCGGGCAGGCGAGGCGGGCCGCCCTGACCCCGGCGGTGTAGTTCCAACCCGGACGCCGCCGCGGAGCCTTCCCCGCGCCGACTACGTTTCCCAGAGGCCAGCGCGGCGCGGTGCGATCCTGCCGTCCGAGGGGCGGGTGTGCGGGGGCTGCTGCGGCCGCCGGCGGGGCTGGGGGGCGGCTGGGGCGGGGCGAGTGCGGGGAGGGGGCGTGTGCGGCAGGCTGGACCCGAGTGGCCGGCGAGCGACCAGGGTGTGCTGGCGGGAGTGTGAGAGAAGTGGTGCGCCTGTGCGTGGAAGGTGAGCTCGTGTGCTAGGCTCCAGGAGAGACTGAGTGGAAGGTGTGAGAGTGAGAGAAAGTGTGAGCTGCCAGAGATGGTGGAGGGGTGTGTGTGTGAAAGTGTGAGATGCCATACATGTGGGATGTGTGTGTGTGTGTGAGAGAGATAGTGTGAGATGCCAGGGATGGTGGGAGGTGTGTGTGTGTGAGATGTCAGAAATGGTGGCAGGTGTGTGTAAGAGAAAGTGTGAGATGTCAGGAGCATGTTGGTGTGAGTGTGTGACTGCAGTGTGTGTGTCTGTCCTATGAGGTATCTGAGTGTGAGAGAGGGCACTATGTATTTGGTGTGTGTGAGACGTGGGGGAAGGGGGCACAACTACAATGTGAGAGACCAGGATGTGTTTGTGTAGTGGTAAAAAGAAAACCACAGGCCCAATTTGGCACCATTTAGGTCAAGTCCTCAGACAGGCAGTTAATACCCATCCTTTTTTTTTTTTTT